TTCTTAGGTCATACCGTTAGCGAAGAGGAAATTACGACAACAAATAAGAATGTCAATGCAATTTTAGACGCACCGTTACCTAAAAACGTTAAAGAATTACAAGCTTTTATCGGTATAATAAATTATTATCAAAAATTTATAAACAATTTTTCTATTGCCGCTCCATTATATAGGCTTTTAAGGAAAGATGTGCCATGAAAATGGAATGAAACAATTGTAATTAATAAATTTAAAAAATTAATATCAGAAGCACTAATTTTAACACATTATAATCCGGAAAAACCGATAATTCTAGCTGCTGATGCGTCTCAACATGGAATAGGATCAGTTATATCTCATATCATTAACAACGAGGAAAAACCGATTGGATACGCGTCTCGAACATTAAATGCTGCCGAACGAAATTACAGTCAGATAGAGCGTGAGGCTTTAGCAATTATATTTGGATTAATTAAATTTAAACAATATTTAATTGCCAGACATTTCATTATCATTACTGACCATAAACCCCTGATATCGTTACTTAATCCACATAAAAGAATAACAGATATGTCATCAAGATTAGTAAGATGGTCATTACTACTAGCAAATTATGATTATGAATTGCAACTTCGAGGGACGAAAAAAAATAGTAATGCGGATATGCTTTCCCGGTTTCCAATTGACGGTAAACCATCTGCTTGGGAAGAGTTAGATATTAATTTAATAGTATCGGATGCTCCACAATTTATTTCAGCGTTAGATATAAAAGCACACACAAGAAATGACCCGGTATCAAAAGTTTCACGTTACCTTACAACTGGATGGCCAAAGATAATAGAGGAAAATCTAAAACCGTTTTTCCAGCGCCGAAATGAACTCACGATGGAGGCAGGGTGTATATTATGGGGATTAAGAACCATAATTCAAAAAAAATTACAAGTAAATATTTTGTCTTTTTTACATATGGGGCATCAGGGTCATACTAAAACAAAATTATTGGCACAAGAGAACGTTTGGTGGCCGAATATTAACGAAGATATCGAATTACACGGTAAGAATTGTGAATTATGTCAAACAAATAATCCTGGCAATAAAACGATCATAGGGAAATGGCCCTCCGCAAATAAACCATGGGGAAGAATTCTTTAGATTTTGCCGGACCAATTAACGGAGATATATATCTAGTAATAATAGATAGTTTTAGTAAATGGCCTGAAATACAAAAAATGACGACGAATAATTTTACTGAAGTAAGAAAATTGTTAAGACTTTTTGCTATTTTCGGTTACCTCAATATGATTGTTACGGATAATGCCCCCCCCCCCATTTCAAAGTAGAGAATTTAGTTTATTTTGCAAACAATTATCAATTAATAGTGCCCCATACCACCCTAGAACCAACGGAGAAGCGGAGCGATTAGTACAAACTTTTAAAAAAATTTTAAAAAAACATAATGGTTATAATAAAATACAAGATTTTTTGTTTAATTATCGAAATACGCCACAAATAACCACAAAACAATCACCAAATTCAATTATGCTTAAATTTCAACCCATAGGACCTATACAATTAATAAAACCAATTTATCCTCATCCATATATACCTCAGTTACCAGGTTTTTTTAATATAAATGAAAAAATATATGCAAAAGATTTTAAAAAAGATAATTGGATTCCAGGTATCATCGTTAAAAGATCAGGACTAATGACGTTTTTAGTTGAAACTAAATTAGGGGTATGGAGAAGACATATTAATCAGTTAAAACATAGGTTTGACAACTCCGATTTAAAAAATAGAGAGGAGGGAAGAGAAGAAGAAACGATGCAAACTACACCACAAATGAATGAAATGGATCATATACAAAATTCGATAGCAAAAGACATAGATCCTATACATGAATTGGTGACCAAAGACATGGATACAATACAAGACTCAATAAACAAAGACACCATCATAAATTATAAGATGAAAATCGACAGTAATGAGCAAACGGTGGTAGAGAACGAAAGTACAAGCAGCCGTTATCCAAAACGGATAAGAAAACAATTTATACCGTTTCAAATCGAGAGCCCAAAAAGGAGAGAATAGATGTAATAGAAACAATTAGCCTCAAAGGCAATTAAATATATGATGAATTTAAAATATATATTATTAATTGTGTACGACGATTAATTGTTTGTTTTGTAAAATATATATATACTGCGGTACAAAAGGTAAAAAGTTGTTAAATTTATAATAAAAATTGATTTCATCACAATTTTATGATGGATAAATCAGAAATTTTCCTATCTTATGAGATGTGATTCAGAAATTTATATTTATTTAGATGAAGGGTTATCTAAAACTTTTCATTATTTTTGATAAAATATGTTTATTATATTTAGTAATTATAATTTATGTGCACAATAAAAAATCTTTTAAAATTGATGGAAACACATGGTTTTAGCTAAGATTATAAACTAAATAATAAAAAGGTTATTATTTTTTTAACATATCTTAATTTTAAAATTTATATAATATTATAAAATAATATAAATTTGAATATAAAATAAAATGAAATAAGTTAGTAAAATTCGCGATATATTTTATAAAAGGTATGTAGAAATCGCGATATATTTATAAAAAATCATAAGTAGAAATCGCGACATATTTTATAAGAGGTCACTCAAATATTATAATTATTTTAATTAATATTTTTATTTAATTTTATTTAATATTTTAATTTTATTTTAATAAATATTAAAATTTATTTTAATCTATTACTTTAGTTTACATTTTATTTCACGTCTAAAACAAAAATAAATTTCTATTCACTTGTATTTGTAATTTATACTAAAAAATATTTTTTTGCTAGAAGAGTTTTGTGAGGCAAGGTTAAATTAAATAAGTTTGCAAAACTCATATAGTACGCATGTATTTTTTTATGAATTACAAATAAAAATTTAGTTTAAAAGATTTTTTATTGTGCACATAAATAAATATACAAAAATATTTCATTAACATATTTAAAAAAAATAATGGAGAATTTTAGAATAACCTCTGATCTATATAAATTTCTGAATAACACCTCATAAGATAAGAAAATAAAGGTGAAATTCATTATTCACCCATCATTGAATAAAGGAGAAAATTCTAATTCCCCATCATTCTTGACGGACTATCAGCTAGTAACTTATATTTTTGATAACGAGTCTTAAAGGATCCCTAAAATATGTTAAACTTAATGCATGATCACAAAAGGCATAATTTCTTTTGTTATTTATGCCAAAATAATCATGGATTAATATTTCCTCCATATATACACTGCACGATGGCTTTTTTTATTTCCTTGTGTCCAACAATTTATTGAAATGTTTGAAGCATTAAAATCGTAATTTCTTTCAATTAACAATTCAGCAATTATCAGAAATTTTGTGCAATGATTTAAATAAAGCATATCTGTGGTTTGCCCATTCCTTTAGTTCAAATAAAGTCAGATGAGAATTGAAATAATTCAATTATTGAAATTAGAGGCCTTCATTTATTCATCAGACCCAGACTTAGGTCACCAAAAATAATTTGCAGTCCCAATCCATGTTTGATAAGAAAATTTAAACCCAATCCCATCCAAAGTTTCAAAAATTTTGTCCAAATCCATAGCCAAAAATTTAATTTATTGTTTTAAAAGAAAATAAACAATATTTCAATGTGTTTTGGCCATCACTTTATTTGTACAGAGATTTATTATTATTAAAAATAAAAAAATGCAATATATTTTAGTTAGTCAGTTTAATAGGCTAAATTTAAATAAAAATTTAGGCCCAAGGCCAAAGGCCAAATTTTTGTATCAAAAACCCAGACCTGACCCAGGCACGTTAGAAAATATATTATACCTGACACCCCATGGGTCGCAAGCCGCTCCATGAAGATCTCTGATTGAAATGTTTAACCATTTTAAATCATTAAAATATATGTTAACAGAAAGAAAAAATTTTAAAAGTAAATTAAATATAATAAAGATTTTTGTGTTAACAGGGCTACCACTATACTTAACATTATTGAAAGTAGTGATCTACATCAATCAAATTTCCAGACCTAGCCCGATATTTTTTTTAACAAATTTGCCCAACCCAGCTCAATATCTTTTCAAAAAATTTGCCCAGGCCAGCCTTAACAACTTATTTTTTATTCATCTTAACGTACTTATGGCGTATTTATTTTTATATTTTTCATCCTGAACATAATCGATTGATCTTTATCATCAAATCTTATCTTCAACATTATTCCATATTTTACTCCGATAATTTTTTTTATACATAAAACTGTATATTTTATTAATTTAATATACTATAAAAAAATTATAAGATTTTGATTCTTTTATTTTTAAACCAAAAATAAAAGATATATGGAGCCTAGTTTCCTACAAATAAATATAATTTAAAAAAATATTCTACAAATAAAAAATATTAACGCCTTTCTTGTAAAAATTTAAAAATATATCAATTTTATTTCACAAAATTGATTCATATCATATCATCTCAAAATAAGTCCGGACTATCCCAACTTATTTTTAATATTAGGGACTTTTTTTTAAAGTAGACCCTGCTTACTTTTGCAGAAACAAAAAATATAATTTATTTTTATAGTGATTTATATTCAAATTAAATCAATTTGATTGAATCAACCATAATTAATAGTAGGGAGTATAAATTTATATAAGAATCGAATCAAAAATCAACACGAAAATCTATCCCCTTTCTCATCGGTAGTGCTGTTAAACGGTCCGATTTGGATCTATTTTTAAAAACAGCTTGATTAAGATTTTAGCAAAAATTGTATTATGTAAGCCTCGAGATTTGGCAAATAGACGGTCCAAAACCTTACTTCTACCTATGAACAAGATCTCCAGACTTACCTTTTATTTCGGCCAAAATCTTCATCAGGCCATTTTTAAAGATCGACACAAATCGGGTCATTTTACAACACTATCATTGGAGATTGAGGACGCTGTATATATAAATTCCTTCCTATGTACTTACATATCGAATCTATCCTTCTTCCAAATTTTGAAAAAGGCGCTGATGTTAGAAATTCCAGTTAATTGCCACCTGATTTTGATTGTTCGACTTTCAGTGTGTAGCGTCATTTTAAGGATATTTAACTTCACCTCCGCATATTTAAGCTTATTGATAAGCTTAAGCCAGTAAAGCCATGATATATATTTGTTTTTTCCGCTAAATCAATATTTAAATTAAAAAAACAGAAATAAATATAAATAAAAGAAGTATTCATTATTAAAGAATAAATAATGATTTTTAATTGTTGTGTTGTGTTAAACTTTAAATTTATTTTTCAAGTAAGGTTTTAAAAAAATATATACTGCAATGTGAAGCCTTTGATATTGTTTTCGAAAATAATATTGGTATGATAAATGTTGAAAGGGTGGGTCTCCTGAAAAAATCTTGGGAGCTAAAATATATCATAAAATGGAAGAATAAAAAAATTAAAACAATTAATGATTTTCAAAAAGATTTGAAATATTTAATTTCACATTTAAAATCTCTAAATAAAAATTTATTGGAGATAAAAAACTTCTATAAAAATCTTCCTTGTAAAAAATGGTCCACAACATTTTGTTGCAAATTTTTCATTATTACAATCATCTAAAAAATTAGAAGCATTAGTTAAATATTCATTATCACAATGATTTTATAATATGCTCATTTTGTTAAATTGTGATATTAAAAAAACTAACTTGTTTTTAAGAAATTGTTATAAAAAAATAATTTTTAAAATTTGCAAAGCTTGTTTATTTCTGTTTAATTTTTCCCTTTTTCCTCCCTACACTACTTAATCCCAGGCCTATCACTAGATTATCTGCCCTTAGGCATAAACATGATTTTATTTGTTTCCTCTTATATAAATTCTAAAAATATGTACATAATCTTAAAATTTAATATAAAAACTATAAAATTTGCCGATCCTATCCGATATAAAATGGCGTTCTTAACAAAAATAAAATGTTATAAATTATTTTAAAAAAGTTATTTTTATAAATAAAATCGAAATCCATATTTTTTTAATAATAATAATTAATAAACATTCTGCCATATTGTTATTTTTTTCCGCATTCTGTTTATAATAGTGTGCGATAATCTCTTCAGAATCTGTTTTTAGTTAAGCTGGCGATATTGACAGTTACCATCGCCGCAGGTAATTTTTGATAAATTGGAAATTTTCATATTTCTAAAAAGAAATCTTCGATATATTAATGTTAAATATTATTTTAAATATTTATTTAAATTTCATAATATATTTGTTTATTACTTATTATGTATATAGATTAATTTTGTTACTTATTATATAAAAGTGATTTATAATAAAAATATTTTATATACTTTTAGGCAATAAAATTGAATATAAACTATAACTGATCATTATAATATATTTAAATGACATAAGTTATGGTATAATTAAATTATAGATGTTATACTAATAAAAAGTATATTAAAAATTAAAACCATTGGTATCTTTACAGAATACAAAATTAGATATATCGGATCGGTTATCGGCCGATATCAATTTAATATTTGGAATATCGGATCGGCCTCCAAAAAGTGGTATCAGTACACCCCTAATAAAAACCATTTATTATAATTAATTTTCTCTTCTTTCCTGCAAAATTTTGAAGAATTTCTTCTAAATTTAAGACATTAAGTGATTTATGATTCAAAATATAAAATGGAAGCTCAGTCAATCTCAAATGGCTCTTATTAAAGTTAACTTCCAAAAAACTTTCCAGCACTTTCCGGTTACTGGTATCATTAGTATTGTAAAACTTTTGCAGTGTTTGGGTAAATTTCTTGTATTTTTTTTATCATAAGGTCCAACAAGTCAGCAAATTTATTTCCTCAAAAACGTCTAACACATCCATATCAGATATATACCATTGATTAACAATGCAATTGTCAAATCTTTATTATATGGATAAAGTTTCTGAGGTCCAATCAATCAAAAAACTAAACTAATTTATATAAAATTAAAATGGTTCTCAATTGTTTAAATTGATTTTCCATGAATATGACACTTGTAATTAAAAAAAATTGGTTTTGATTTTTTCCCTAGGTTGTTGAATCATATTTGCTTTCATAGTCAAACAATGTTTTTTGGTTTGTTAATGAATCTAGAGTTCTAGTTTAAGAATGTAGATGAAGCTTCTAATTAATTTTTATTCTGACATATAATTCCTAAAAGTCTCATAAAATTTTCTTGTTTTTACAGGAAAATTTAAAAACAAATTTAGACTACAACAGTTTGTTTGAATCAATGCCCAACTAAGATAAGATATCCTGAATACTTGAATGTAAAAAGATTTTTGTACTCTGTCTTAGATACTTTATGTTTAAGAAAATCTTGTAACATTTTTCATTTTCTACACAAAAGATAACAGGAACTATTTTATATTTTTGTTTAAAAAATTCAATATTCACTTTTAACCTTTTCCATGGATTCTTACATTAATTTTGTTGCTTCTCCTTATATTTTAAATTAATATTCATCATACCCAGCCCCTGGCAACATTTGAAAAACATTTATTTGGACTGGTTTAACAGGTAAAAAAATCAAAGGGGCAGGCAGGAAAAAAAATGCCAGACACACTTAATATTTAATAGGAAAAAAATCATTCTAATGCTTAATTTCGTTAAAATTATATATTTTATATTAAATGATGTTAAATGGCTCGATTTTAGTCGATTTTTAAAATGGCTAACTCAATATTTTAGCAAGATGAATATAGTCTAAATCTCGAGATTTTGCTAATAAGTGTCTTTGTGCCATATATGAACAAAATCCTCAGGCCTGCATAATATTTTTTTGAAAATATTTAGTTAACCATTTTAAAAAATCAATTCAAATTGAGCCGTTTAACACTAGAGCTGCTTAATATTATTATTCATTAAAAAAATGATTTCTTTTCTATTTTCTTACAATTTATGTCTATTGCTATAAGAAAATCATGAAACCTAAACCCTCATCGTTATTGGTTATTTTTCTATAAGATATTTCTCTAGATTTTAAAAAACCCAAGCAGGGTGAGGCAATCTTGTAAAAAAATTGGAACAAGGTTAGGTAGTTTTGACAGGCTAGGGCAGGTAATAACTAAATTCCAACTGGGCCAGGTCTAAAAATTTTGCCATTTGCAGACCTCTAATAGAAATTAGATAATTATTGTTATGATTTTTTGTATATATTTATATTAATCATTATTGTATTTATAGGGTGGAATAAAGTATTCTTTTTATTTCACTGTAATATTTTAGGTTTGGATACAGTATACTTGATCTGTAATAGGGCTGTGCTGAGAATATCAGAATGGGCCAATCTTTTTAAAAACTCAATTAATTCCATTTTTTTTGTTTTTGGCTACTTTATAATAGTATATATAATCTTTTTTATTTTATAAATAATTTCATAATTATAAATTAATGAAAGGAATTAATATTCATTTTAATTGTTGTAGTTAAAAAAAATAGTTTGATATTTTACACTATTTTTTGTTATATTATCTGCAAAAAGAAAAGGATTTTAAAATATCTAATGAGTTACATCCAGTAATGGCTCAATTTAGCCAATTTTAAAAATAATTAACTCAAAATTTTAGCCAAGGGTAGATTATCCATGCTTATTGATTTTTCCCACAGATATCAGAAAGGTTTGGACTTCTATTGGCTAAATTTCAAGGCATAGGTAATAATATTTTGTTTAAAATTTTGATTTGGTGCTTTTTAAAAATTGGCTAAATAGAGCTGTTTAACAACACTACATTCACCCATATACATTGGAATTATTTTAAATGATAATATTAACTTATAAAAAATAAAACACATTAAATCCTTCATGAAAGTTAGTTGGTTTTTTTAAAAGTTGAAAAGATTGATATATTTGGCATTGATACAAAGAAAAAAGGGTAAATAAAAATCAATTTAAATATCAGAGGTGTTTTAGTTATATTGGATTGGATCAGTGCAAAATTTGTAGATCGGCACAGCCCTTGGCTGTAATATTTATATAATATTGGTCCATAAAATTGGATGTCATTTATTTGGAATTTATCTTTCTGCTCATTGAAGCAATCAAAAAATATATTATATTTCTCTATGTTATCCTGTTGGTTGTAAATCTCTCTATTTCTACTCTTAATTGTTGAGTCATATACAATTCCTTCATAGCAGTTGGTTAAGAAAACAATGATACTGATTTATTTTACAATTTCATAACTATAGGTAAATTTTTTAATAAAAAGTATCTTGGATTCTATCAAAAGATAAATTTCATATCTCTTTAAACTCTTATTTATAATTTTAAACCAATTATTTTTATTTTTCTATGATTTAATTAAGCTTTTACTATGTATTGGGGGGGGGGCAGGGTATTAGAAGCACATTAAGCTATATCATAATTATTTGATGATTTAAATAGCAGTTACAGCAAATAATATATCTCTAATTTATTTTAAAAATTGGTCAGAAATTAGTGCAATTTTAATTTAATGAAATTACATGATCATGCAAAATTTGATAAGTCTTCTGTATTTTTTCATTATTAATATTTTGATTGTTTCTATCTATCATATCTGGTTGTCCATTAAGTACACAATTCAAACTCAAGAATATATTATCTTTGACTAATATATTTTTTGATTTAAAAAATATTGAAGGTGAAGGTGTTTGAATATTTAAATTTCCCATAATTAGCAGATCTTTGTTATAGTCAAATTCATTAACAATTCTATGTCTGCTTGAAATAGTTTGTAAGGCATATTGATGAAGGTTAATATAAGAATTTGTATAGGCGATATTAAGATCTTTTCTAGCCAATTCGCGACTATAAATATATATTGGAATAATATGACAACGTGGTTTTAACATCATGTTCATGTCTTTCATTCTCTCCTAAATAAATTACATATGATAAACGTTATTATTCACCTTTTAGGAGTAAAACATGTGTGATCGTAAAGGCGTTCACAGGAAAACAAGCATGTATATTTATAGATCATATGACATATATTACAACGCGCGCGTATCGTCCGGTAGTCTCGAATTATTATTAACTTTATACGTTTTGTCGCTTTACGAAAAGGTGAAAAAAGGTGAAATTGAATACCATTTTTCAATAATCAACCCAGCATAATACTTTGAGTTTATATAAATAGGAAGTATAAAGGTAACCAATTTTTTTTAAACTATTATTTAAATATGACATGGAGATATTTTATGCTATTATAATTACATAATTATATTTATATAGTGTATAAAGGTGCATATTCTAATATCAATCAAAAGGGTCACATCCTACCCAGACCAAATCTGATATGTATTATTATGATATTTTGTTTTCTATTATAATATTAAATTTTAGTAGATCAACTTGCCCATAAATATAGACCTTTCAATACTTCATTCAGTCTATAGGAAATATTGTACATATTCTCCAATACTAATATTTCAAATATTATCTTAAATAAAATTAAGGTATATCATACATTCAATAAAGTATTATTACTTTAAAAGTATTTTGTAATAATATTATACTTTGGCTATATTATTTGAAATTAAGATATAATCTTAGTTAAGGAAAATTATTACTATTTTTTTTAACAAAATATAATCCACTAATACCTGTTTCAGATGGCTATGCCTAATCACTTTAAAAAGCATAAAGACTATAATAGCCTTACTGCTTACTTTACATACACAAATAAACCATGCCTTGCACCCTGGATTGTTAAGAACAATTTATTTACTATGTCCAAAGAATGCACGAGTATATTAATTATAGATAAATTTTATATTAATATATTATAGATGCAATCTGCCTTCAAAAAAATTATTTTTCTGTATGATGCTAAAGAATTATAAAGCTATTCAAGATGATATTCCTATTCTCACCCAAGAAGCTGTTGTCAGTGAAAACAATTATGCATTAATTCCATGTAAATATAATATGATTAATACATTTACTATATCAATTATAAAGTTATTCAAGATGATATTTCTATTCACACCCAAGAAGCTGTTGTCAGTAAAAATAATTATGCATCAATTCCATGTAAAATTCAATATAAATAATATTCATTATATCAATTTAATTGCAATGATATTCAAAATTTATTTTCTTTTTAAATAGATCAATCACAATTCAATTTTCAAGATTTATTTTTTTAAAAAAATCAATTTATAAATTAATAAAATCAAAATATAATAATGACTTTTTATATTCTAATAAGTATTTGTACATTAATGATAAATTAATATATTATAAATGCCATACAAAACATTGTAAAGGGAGGAGGATTTTAAATACTCATTTTATAATGACACAAAAGCATATTGATCATAATGATGAAGATATATATAATACGCTCATCACAATCAATATGCTTAAAACAGAACTTATGTTAAATCAAAATATCAGTATTAGAAAGACATACAGAAAGGTTATGAGAGACAGAAAACTCGATCCTTTCTGTATGCAAAACCCCAAAACGTTACCTACCTTTTTATCAGTTAAATCCATTATGGGACGTGTTATTCAATTAACACGACCCCCCCCCTTCCCCTTTCAAATGGTGATATTATATTAACCCAAGAGCACACAAAATCACATTTAAGTTTTTTTAAAACTACAATGTCTACTTTTGCCATATATTCTTTTTTCACGATTTTTCCTCCGTCATGTAATTATATTAATTGTTCAATAATTTTCATGTTGTCAATAAAATAACAGCTATTAGTCTAAGTATTTATATTCTAGTCGGGTCATACAGAAGTGGTATACGCCAATTACAATATTATGGTCGTTCTTACATTTATAGCCTAATTTTATATTGTATTTATCCACAATTTTTGTGATTTTTTATTTATTTATTTATTAACGTTTTGTATTGCATTTATGCGCATTTTTTATCCAATTATTTTTTTCTGTATTTAACGTTATTCGTATATTTATACTAAATGATACCCTTATAAATAATGTATTATAAGATTATATATTTATTTGTGAATCCAATATTATTTAATAAAATAAATATATATCCTTTATTGCTAATAAATGTATAACATTGCAATAAGTATTAATCCAACGATAAAAAATTTATTCAGGTATTTCCTACTAAGTTAGGTAACATATATACTAATAGAATCTCAAAAAAATTAAAAGATGTGAGGAAATCTGTTGATTATATAAATAAGTATAAATCCAACGATAAAAAATTTTTTCAGGGATTTCCTACTAAGTTAGGTAACTTATATATACTAATAGAATCTCAAAAAAATTAAAAGATGTGAGGAAATCTGATGATTATATAAATAAGTATAAATCCAACGATAAAAAATTTATTCAGGGATTTCCTACTAAGTTAGGTAACTTATATATACTAATAGAATCTCAAAAAAATTAAAAGATGTGAGGAAATCTAATTATTATATAAATAAGTAAAAATCCAACAATAAAAAATTTATTTAGAGATTTCTTAGTAAGTTAAGTAATTAACATATACCAATTAATCATAAAGCAATATATTATATAAACCAATATATATTTATATATCTAAATATATTATAAATAATTATAATTAAATTTTATATATGATGTAAATATATTATATTAAATATATATTCAATTATATTCAATATATAAGTAAATTAATATATAAAATATATTATACTAACTATGTTAATAATATTAACTATTATATTATATTTAAATATATTGATTATGTTATATTAAATACTACAAACAATCATATATTTAATTATTTTATATATCAATTAATTTAATATTAAATACATATATTAAATATTTAAATATATTATAAATATTTAAATTTTATATATGATGTAAATAAATAATTATATTCAATATATATATACTAAATATGTTAATAATATTAACTATTATATTAAATTTAATTATATTGATTACATTATATTAAATACTACAAACAATCCTATATTTAATTTTTTTATATATCAATTAATTAATAAATATTTAAATTGTATTATTTACTTTATTAAATTACAAATTTCTAATAATTCGTTACTAATTTAATATTAATTTAAATGATAAGATCTGTCTCATATGTAGTAACCGATTGAAATTTTTTGGCGGCCATGTTTTAATTTTATATTTATATTTTAAAATCTCTCGCTTCAACCTTTAGGGGCCATATTGGTCGCCATTTTAGCTTATTTGTATTTTTGATACTTTTTAATATTCGAGACAGCGGACCCAAATCTTACGCGCGTATATCGTACCGCCTTTACTATTTTTTATTTATAATTAGGTATTTTGTCGGTAAACTTTTTGGGGAATTTCGGATAAGCTTAAAATTTATATGCTCAAATTTTCGGTATCGGGCCGATCCGTTTGTCTGTCTTTTGTCATTATACCATTTCGCTTCAATTTTTCGAAAAATTTTATCTAATTTTCTCCATTTCATCTAATCCTCATTCTCCTCTCTGTAAATGATACCTTCCTTATATAGAAGGTCAAAATATTATAAGAACAAAATATATTTTAACTGTAATTCACCCACCTACAATGGAAAAGGTTACATAGTAAATAACCTATTTACTTTGACCACAGCATGCAATGGTAAATTATTTAATATATAATATGTGATTTATTGTTTTCTAGATGTTTGCAAATATTTGACTGCAAGAAGAGAAAAGCTTTTATAAATATTAAATTGCAGCTGTTTATTATCAATTAAGCTATATTACAGTAAAAGTATATTTATTTTATATTTAAATATTTTATATTGCAGCTCTTTATTGCTCAATTTATAAGCTTTTATAAATATCTTATATTGCAGCTCTTTATTGCTCAATGTACAAGTTTTATAAATATCATATTGCAGCTCTTTATTATCAATTAAGCTAAATAACTGTAAAAGTATATTTACTATATTTTTAAAAATCTTATTATATTGCAGCTCTTTATTACTCAATTTACAAGCTTTTATGAATATTATATTGCAGATATTCATTTTCAATTAAACCATATTGCATAAAAAAAAAAGGAAGAGTAACCTTACGTTATAATTCAATAATCCATAATCTTATACTTATCTTATTATATTTCAGCTATTTATTACTCAGTTTACAAGCTTTTATGAATACAGTAAAAAAAGAAGCCTTACTTTAGAATTCAAAAATAAAAGGTATATTTTATTCAAAAATGGATATATAAATTATATATAATTGTATATGCCAATTCCACCAAATTTCCATTTACATAAATATTATAATGAATCAACTACTTATTATGAATGCTCAAAAGCATCATGCAAAGGGAAAGGCATACTCAAATATAATGTATTTAGTATATCTAAAGAGTGTACTGGTAGATAAAATATTTTTAAATATATAAAAATTAAATGTATTAAAGATCCAAATTGCTACCAGCAAAAATTCAAATCAATATCAACACAAAGTTTATGATGAATAGAAATATAAAAATTTTTATTTTATTTAGCTGAAGACACAATTTACTCAGACAGATAAAAGAATTTATGTTACAAATGAATGTCAAAGTGAATTTTTATCTATATTTACATTCATTATCTTAAAACAAAGTTTGTGATCATGTTTATAACTATCTACCTAACAGCCTTACAACAAGTCTGAGTACCATAATTATTTATATATTTATAACTATCTTAAAACAAAGCTGGTAATCATGATTATAACTATCTACCTAACAGCCTTACAACAAGTCTAAGTACCATAATTATTTATATATTTATAACTATCTTTAAACAAAACTGGTGTTCATGATTATAACTATCTACCTAACAGCCTTACAACAAGTCTAAGTACCATAATTATTTATATATTTATAACTATCTTAAAACAAAATTGATCAAATAGAAACCCATGTTTTACATAGTAATGAAAATGAAAACCATGTTATGCATAGTAATGAAAACCCATTTATGTAAGATATAATTTTACATACTAATGATTATAATAAAAATTTAAGCAGCTATTTATGAACCTGAAGTTATTAATCTTACAACAAATTCAAGTATCATAATATATTATTTATATTCATTATTTTTAAACAAAGCTAATTATCAAGAAATTCAAATTTTATTTTTTAAAAAAAAGTCCACCTATAAATTTATTACATCTAAATTTAATAATAATTTAATCTATTCAAATAAATATTTATATCTTCGCAATAGAGAATCTATTATAATAATCCTCAAGAAACGTCAATCAAATTTAGCCAATAGTTTTCTTTTAAAACATTGTCCAATAAAAAATTATAGCGTAATCGGTCCAATAGTAATCACCTTAGCAAGCTCAGCATTCATACACTTACCATTTCATTCACTTCACATATCAAAGCAATGGTATCAAGCAACCAGGTATAATTTTTTCAGTTCTTATATATAATTATATTATTTTTATTAGATTCTTCAACAAAACCCAACTACCAATATAAGAAAAAACAAACCAAGTTAAAAAGCAGAATAAGCAAAATTTATACCCTATTTTTTTGTGACATAATAATTTACTATGTTATTTATATATTAAGTTATCTATATTATTTTATATAGATAAGAATAACAATAAATTCTCTTATACCTAGGAATTCTATCTTTTCAAAAAATATGATATTCTTTTTTATACATTTATTTTAAGATAAGTCAATTTTAATTAAATCTCAAAATTCAATAATATAACATCTATTTTCTATTCAAACAAAATAATTTAATTACTCATTTGCTTTCAACTATTCTTTTGTAAAAAGTTAAATTTAAAAAAATTAATATTTTAAATAGCATTAAATAATAATTAAACAAAAAAGTTAAATTTAAAAAAATTAATATTTTAAATAGCAATAAATAATAATTAAACAATATATAAAACATTTTTAGAAATGAGAATAGTTGGAGGCAAATGAATAATATAATCATTTTGTTTGTATAGATGTAAATTTTATATTTTTAAATTTGATCCTTTCTCTGTCTCTGTTAGATTTAATTGAAATGGACTTATCCTAAAATAAAGGGAAAATAAGATATATTCCTAGGTATATTGCTTATCTATATAAAATAATATAGATAATTTAAAAAATATATAAATAACATAGTAAATTAATATGTTACGCAAAATTAGGGTATAAATTTACTCATAAAAATCTAAAGTCAGATAAAATGAAAAATATATACTTGATACTCAAATTTTTATATTTATTAAAGGTCAATGATAGGTTTGATGGTGCTTAATAGGAAAAATTAATTATTACAGATCCTTTATTGGTGGGGATAATTGAAATAGACTTATAAAATAAATGAAAAAATAATTTAGGAAATAAAGTTACCTCTTTTATTGAAAGGATAGGATTATTAGGTAAAAGAGAATTCGTATTTTTAATTGTTTTTCACCTATATAGTTAAAATTTTATAAAAATTTAAAATCTAAATAGTAAGATATAAAGAAAAATCCATGCTCATGAAAATTCTTGGACACTAATGACCAGTATAATACTTACCCCTTTTAGACCCCCAGCTTTATAAATATACAGTTATATGTTTTTAAGATTGGTTATTTAAATAAAAAGGCATTTAATAGCTATTCTATAACACTTTATTATTATAAGATAAATCCGATATGATTCGGTGAACAACAATTCTGACTAACAGGAGCTCTGGTAAATAATGTTAGTATTTAGGGTGCTAATAGGAGATATTGTTTCATTTTTGTAATTTTAAATATAAATTTCTAAATCACATCTCAAATTATAATTCCCCGTCATTCTTGACGGGTGATCAGTGTGATGCTAATATGAGATGTTTTTTCATTTTTATTTATTTTTGTAATTTAAAATATAAATTTCGAAATCACATCTCATAAAATAGGAAAATTTCTGATTCATCCATCATCAAATAAAGGTAAAATATATTATTAATCAATCATTGAATAAAAAAGACAATTCATCACTCTTAGTCTTAATGGGTTGGAATTGGCCTGAAGGAGGAGGGGGAGGGGTAAAAAGAATTATCGTAAAAGAACGAATAAAATTCTCATCCCCGTCATTTTTGATGGGTTATCAACTAGTTTTTTTTATAAATGTCGTTTACAAAGTTGTAAGGGAAGGGGTATATTAGGTACTCATTTTACGATGACAAAGCAACATAATCATGAGAATGATGAAGAGTATTATGAACTTTTACTTACGTTAAATGAAAAAAATTAAACAAAATTAAATAAATATTTAAGTTTACATAAAATATATAAAAAGGTTATGCGTGAAAGGAAATTAGATTCCTTTGCGATGCGACATCCTAAAACCTTACCAACATTATAGTCGGTAAAAACAAATATGGCACGCGTTATTCAATCGACGCGGCCATCCTTACCTCGCACAAATGCTGATATAGCTTTGCTTGACGAACATAAAGTCACCATAACTAATAATAATTTTTTAATTTGTAATGATAATAATAAATTATTTATTTTTCTACTCATATTCTTTTATCTCGCCTTTGTTTGGCAGATAAAATATAACTAGATGACACGTTTAATGCCTCCCCTAAACTATTTAAACAACACTATAAATATTATTATAAATAATACATTAATTATCTGTGCTTATATTCTTTTACCAGATAAATATAAAAATACATATATTCGAATGTTTTATTTATTAAAAAATTATTGTTTATCATTAGGTTTATTTTTTTCGCCACCAAGTGCAACAATAGATTTTGAAATTGGCGTATTTTTAGCTCTCAAGGAAATTTTTCCGAGAATTATTGTAAAAGGTTGTTATTTCCATTTCTGTCAATGCATCGTAAGACGCATTCAGGAATATCGCCTGACCCAAGTGCACAGGCGAAATCCTAATATTTATAAATTTTTCCGTATTATAATAGCCATCCCATTTTTATTGGAAAGGGATGTGCCATCTATAATGATTGAGTTGAGTCGCTAAGCTCAATCTTTTCAATCTTTTCAATTGAGTTCTATTTTTGATTTTTTAAATTATTTTGAAAATACTTGGATTAAATATGAAATGGAACATATTTCATGTTAGAGGGGTGAGGACGAATAACCACATTGAAGGATTTCATTGTGCTTTAAAGGAATACGTTCCATATCATAATTTTCCGATGTCCTCACTACGTCATCGTGACGTCATGTCATCGCTACGTCATCGGTACGTATTTATTTTTATTTTTTTTATTTGTTGATTTTATTTTATTTTATTTATACAGATGAATGGAATTGATGGTGTACACATACCTAACATGGATGAAAAACAATATTCCCTCAAATTTGTAAATATGAATTAACACTTAATCCTTTCTTTATTTTTTAGATTACCTTATCAATTTTCATCTCATATTATCAATTACACATTAATGAAATCTTTTTATACTCATATTTTTCTTTCATAACCAATAATTAAGATAACCAAGTATATTTAAATATTCTTATCCTAACCTATTTATAATCTCCAATCCTTATAAATAACTCTTTCTTTTTTTTCCCCTCCCTTAATGAATTTATTTATCACTAAATTTTATTATCTCATTCTTTTCTTTCTATCTCTATTATCTATTAACCACTATTTCTCAAAACCTTATCAATTCCTTTAATTTAATTTTTATTATTTTTATAAAATAATAATTTATACCTTCTTTTTCCCCCATTTTTTAATCTTATTTTTTAATTACCTTACAATTAATTAACCTTAATAACATTACATTCATCATGTTATTTTTTAATTTATAGAATATCATAATAGGCTTGATAAGTCCCCCAAAATTTTTTTTGATGATAGCCCTCCAACTACTAGAAATATGCATCTAATATTGACCCATCTACCGGTTTTACATTATTTTATTGTTTGTTTAATTTCAACAATAGTTTATTTATATTTTTGCCTGATTTCTTTATTTGTCTAGGCTAACCCTAATCTCTCACATTGCTACAAAACATGATGAATCTATTATTAAAGATAAGCAAAGGAAATAATGACGATTAAACAAACGCCTTACCCGTTCTAGAGTTACTGGTAGACAAAATAATAAAGAACTACGCTTGAAATGAACTCATCTAGAGGTTTATTTTGTTTTTTTTTATCTTATGTTTTATATCTATGTTTATTTTATTTTCACCCATTTCTTCAAATGATATTTCTATCACCACTACCACAATCCCTATGTCTCCGCCTATTTTTTTAACAAATATAAACATTTAATTCTGTACTATCATTCACTTCACTAGGAGTTAATATAAATATTACTTTATCCGATTCTCTGAGAAACTTTCAATATTTAGAGGAATGTTCAATGAATATACAGTACGTCCAATTTCATCAACTTTATTAATGGAAAAATATGCAGTAGTTCTGTCGTGGCCTTTATAACAATACTTACGAACGTTTTATGGTTTAGTTAACATTGTCGTTCATGATTCCATTTTAGAAAGGGATACCAATGCTGACATTGACAGAAATATCGTTTTGCGTTCATAGGCATATCATCTTTATCGGGACGTATTGTGTTTTGTACACTGCTTTGGTAATTCGTCATTACTTTCATCTACAACCCTAAATGATATAAAATTATACATTAATTATTTCCTCTCCAGACGACCTCCCAGATTTATTTTGTCACTTTTTCCATCAAAAATTAATATGTCAACAAGGATTTGCTCTTAATTTTATCAAATACATAATAAATATTCCTCATTATTTTTTAAAAAAATTATCCTAAATCTATATGTCAATATAAAGAAATATCTTAAAAAATATATAAATAATTTGCATATAAGTTCATTAGTGTTTAATGGCATTTTTGTAATTTAAATAGACAGCATTTTTTTTACTTAACATAAAAATATACATATCCCTTATCAAATTCTTTGACAAATAATTTCAAAAATGTAAGACATACATTAAATTTATCTGAAAAACAACAATAACCTTATATAATAAACAACATATTTTTTAGATATAATTTTAATTGATCATATTACAAAAATGTATGAGTCGGTTATTTTTATTTTATTTGTATTATCTAATAAGTGGTTGCCCAGGCCTTCCCAGTTTCCCTTAATACGGAATTTACATATTTTTTTTCCATATTAGACTAATTGGTAAATCAGATATTTCCCGTTCATGTGATGATATTAAAAATTTAACTATCTCCGAGGCTGGCAAAAATTTTCAAAATTATAAGAGGTAGGATTGGGCTTGGAACCAAAATTAATATTAGCTTGCACCTGACTTGGGAATATCTTTTACAAATAATTAAGGGTTGAGCTGGGCAAACTTTTTTAAAATTATAAGATCTTGGATGCTTCCTAATATTGTGAGCTTTAACCTGGCATGACATCTATCTTAAAAAATGAATAAAAATCTCATTCCCCGTCATTTTTGACGGGCTTTCTACTAGTATTTATTTATTTATTGATATCATAAAAAATATAGAGCAAGATATGGATCTTATGTTGATGCAGTTAGATGATGGGCGAATAGTTACCGAAAGAAAAAGAAAATATATCGTATTAGATGATAAAATAAGAGAGATAATGATCCTTTATTGTGGAAATTTGTATAGTCCTATTGAATATTTTGAAAAAATATCCAAATATTTATATTCCAAAAAATTTATTGGTATTTAGCCCTTTTTTTAAATATTACTATACTGGTGACCTTTTGCCCATCATCTAACTAAATTTGTTTTATATTTTTTATTGATATCAGTAAAAAAATATCGTTACTGTTGAGCCAAGTTATTTTATTGTAGTTGGGTTTGGCTGAAATGGTATATGCCAATTTCAAAATCTATGTTATGTACCTCAACTATTGCTATATCATCATTTGTGGAGAGCTTTATATGGTAAAAGTACATAATACTAATCATAATGTTAATAACATTGGAAGGCTTGAATAGTACACTAAACCCTTCCTTTGTATATTTTTTTTATCAGTTGTATAACTTATTATTGTCGATATATTTTTTGTATAATTTATTTCAATAAATTATTATCTTTTATATTGTACGTTTATATTATTGTTTCGCGCACTATTATAATATAATTTTTTTTATTCCTGATATATATATATATATGTAATTAAATTCTTATAAAATACATTTTTAATACTACACAGGCATGAATAAATAAAATTATATTCGCGAATTTTCAGAAAAATTTCATAATCAATAATAATTTAATGTTTTGTGTTGTCAAATTATGCACTTGAAATAAAAAGAAATATTCATTTGTAGCCATAATTATATTATATAAATATTTACGATAAAAATTTTAATAAAGGATTTCTTAGTAAGAAAAAAAATTAACGATCCCATATTAGAAATAACAAAAAAATTTGAGTAAATAATATATTTGAAGGAATAATAAGTATAAATACCTACTTTAAAAATTTTATTTATAGAGTTCCAATAAAAAAAATTAACGATATATTAATTATTAGAAATCTCAAGAAAAATTTGAGTAAATAAGATATTTAAAGGAATAATAAGTATAAATACCTACTATAAAAATTTTATTTATAGAGCTCCAATAAAAAAAAAAATTAACGATCCCATTAATTATTAGAAATCTCAAGAAAAATTTGAGTAAATAAGATATTTGAAGAAATAATAAGTATAAATACCTACTATAAAAATTTTATTTATATAGTTCCAATAAAAAAAAAATTAACGATCCCATTAATTTTTAGAAATCTCAAGAAAAATTTGAGTAACTAAGATATTTGAAGGAATAATAAGTATAAATACCTACTATAAAAATTTTAATTATAGAGTTCCTAACAAAAAAAATTAAAGATCCCATTAATCATTAGAAATAACAAAAAAAATTAAAATATATGAGTAAATGTAATATTTATAGAAATAATAAATATCTATTACCCCTTTACTCTCAAATTTATTTTTATTTTCTACCCATCTACAAGTCTCATGAAATTATATTCAGAAAACGACGTAAGTAAATTGCTACTAGTTTTACCATTCTTGGTTATTCTTTTAGAACATATATTACAAAATTAATCTATAGTTCTATTATTAAATAGATAAGTTCTCTAGTGCAGAAGAAAATTGTTTTAATATCATCTAATATAAATTATTTTAAAAAATATATATAATATTGAATAAATTCTATTTATTATTTCATTTTAAATTAATTATATTAAATATATCAATAATTAATATTAAAATATGTAATATATATTATAAGTATATTAAATAAATTATATTAATTATGTAAATAATATTAATTATTATATTATAATAAAATCTTATAATACAATTTAATACATTTATTAATTTACATAATTTTCTTTATATCTAATTTAATATTAAATATATTAAAATATAAAATTATATTATACTATGCATTTATTAATATATAAATTTTTTATAATATAATATTATATTATTAATTTATATAACTAATTAATATTAGAATTATATATTTTCTAATATTTATATTAATAAATTTTTATTTTTATTTATATTAAATTAATTTAATATTAAATAATTTACTTTAAATAGTAAAATCTGTCTAATCTGTAAAAGTTAAATTTTTAATATTTTTAAAATCTCTCGCTCATTCCTGGTGGGTTTCATCCGGTGGAAAATTTGAAGTGATAGAACAGTAAATATTATTTTATTTTAATCATATTTATTTACAGATTCTATGAACATTATATCTCAATATTGATATTAATTATAACTTACACTAAAGAAATTAAGCTTAAAATCAGCCATCACCCACCTTTAAAGTAATTAAATTATACTGTAGTTTTTGGGTATAGGCTTTTTCTTTGTCCCACTCCTTTTAAATTAAAGCCTATAGAGGTTTAAGCAACATTTTTCGAAATGTTGTGCCTACAAGTACGTGCGGCTTGCCCACAAACGTGTGGAGGGCTCCTCATATTTTTACTTTTATACCCAAATTAAATTCAATTAGATGGAAATGAGGAAAACCTAGCGTAGCTCTGTTGAACTTTCACTAGAGGGCAAAAGCGCTATCTATCACGTAAATCTCTCGCTTCAAACTTATAGGGGCTATTTTGACGGCCATTTTAGCTTATTTGCTTTTTTAACATTTTTAAATAATAATAATTGCGGACTGTAACACAGCGTATGCTTCAGTACACCAATCATGTAGTAATCATATTAAAAAATACTGGTAACTTATTAAACAACGCTTAAATTATTAATATCCTTTTTAGAAAAATAAAATACTCACTGCCTATCAAGGGTTGTAAAAACAAGATTTGGATCAATTTTTAAAATCGATCAGATTAAGATTTTAGTCTATAATTATTTATACCTATAAATTTAGCAAATAGAGCCTTCCTGCCATATATGAGCAAAATCTCCAGGTATCCATAATATTATTTTGGCCAATCTATTAATCGGGCTTTAAGAAATTATAAACGGGCTTTTTAACCATCCTAAGCCTATCTAAACCCTTGCTCTAATCTCTTTTCATACAAAGCTACCTGCCAGGGGAATTGTGATGATTTTTTATTTGAGAAGATTTTTTGTTATTATTTTTTAATTAAATACTTATTTATTTAAAAAATAACATAAAATATATTAAGAGTATAAAAAAACATGTATAAAATATAAACTTAAAAAAGATTATAACTAAGCTTGTGATTTTTAAATTTCCGACATGGTAATTACTAATTTTTAGTGATGGCAATTAAGGTTTATTTGCACGCTTTCTCATTTTCAAAATATGAAAAATGAATTCATTAATTTTTTTGATTTATCAATAATTTTTTTGATTTATTAACATTATATATTAAATTATATATATATTAATTAAATTATATATTAATTAAATTTTGATATTTTATCAGTTCTTAAATGTTTTTAGTTTCACATTTGTTAAATTAGTAGATTTTAGAGATTTTATTAGTTTTAAACTAAATCAATGATGTTTTGACTTCTCAACATTATATATAAATTACATTATATAAATATAAGTCTAAATTAGACAAAGTTT